CAAAACACAAATCATACAAAAGTACAAGACACAAAAAAGAAACTTGGATTCAAGGTGACGAACGCGGTTAACCTGGAAAAAGTTGGCTGGCTCAAAACGAGGGCAAAAAAATACAAGAGACACAAAGAGAAGAAACCTTTCCGAGAAACTTTCCCTGAACTCGTACACTTTCTTAGTATATGATTAGAGCAGTGCAGACAGGGCAGTCATCCGGGGACAGGGGCTCTTTAAAACAGAATGTAATTGCGTTGGTGATATTCAAAGCGTCTCTTGGCATTGGTTGCATCATCTCAGACATACCTGGGGTGCATTCAATAGGTTCTGATCTGGCTTTCTTTTCTTGGCCACCATTGCTGATTTATTAGCTATGGTATTTATTTCAGGTATATAATGCTGTCTATTTACGCAGCACTTTACATATATATTGTACATTCACATCAGTCCCTAACCCTCAAGGGGCGTACAATCTAAGGTCCCTAACTCACATTCATACATACACATACTAGGGCCAATTTAGACAGGGGCCAATTCACCTACCAGCATGTCTTTGGAGGAAACTAGAGTACCTGGAGATAACCCACGCAGGCACAGGGAGAACATGCAAACTCCAGGCAGGTGGTGCCGTGGTTGGGATTCAAAACCAATGACCCTAGTGCTGCCAGGCAGAAAGGCTAACCATTTAGCCACTGTCCTGCCCAATACTTTCTAAGTCTCTGATACTGGATGAAATGCATATCAGGAGTTCGCTTCCACTTTACTGGCTGCAGGGTTCATCAGGCTGGCCAGGAAACAGGCATTCTAAAGTCAAATAGCTTTTTTTTTTCACTTTAATCCATTCTATACTCCCTAACACCTAAGCCCCATCCCGATCCAGCAATGTCCACAAGAGCTTCAGTTCTCCAGGGACTCTAGCTGTTGATTGGCTGAGCCATTGGCTCCCGCTGCTGTCAATCACAGCCAGTGAGCTAATCAGAAGAGGGAGGGGGTGGGGGCCGAGCCATGGCTCTGTGTGTGAATGGGCAAGGAGAGCCCTGGCTCGGGAGTGCGCCTGATAGGGTGCCCCCATTGCAAGCTGCCTCCTGTGGGAGCACCTGACAAAAGGGAGGTGCCAATAGCATTGCGGGGGACCCAAGAAGAGGAGGATCCGGCTGCTCTGTGCAAAACCACTGAACAGAACAGGTAAGTATAGACTTATGTGTTATAAAAAAAAGACTTTAGTATCTCTTTAGGGGTAGAAAAAAAACATATTTACAAGTTACTAGTTTAGAGTTATGGAGGAGGTCTAGCGCTAGAATTGTTGCTCTCACTATAACATGTATCACAGGTGTGGCCATCACCTAGGTATATATGTGTACTGCGTGAGCATGGTGGTGGTGGGGGTTTGGGGCACTTTATATTCTTATTTTTTTACACTGTCCTTTTAAAAATTTTTTTATTACTTTCATTGCTATCGCAAGAAATGTAAACTTCCCTTGCAAAAACAATAACGCATGACAGGTCCTCTTTATGTAAAGATCTGAGGTCTACAGTATAAGACCCCACATCTCTTCTCTATGATAGAAAGCATCAGATCCAAAAAAAAAAAAAAGCATCAACCTGATCCCCCCCAAAAAATGGCATTGTTTACATCAGGCCGAAATCAGAAGTGACATCATGACGTCGCTGCAGTCCGCCTAGGCCATAGAGATGAGTGGAGGCTCATCTCTGTGGCCAGTCAGCGTCAGCGCCAGCGCCGAATCAGTTCCTGGGCTCGCTGGTCATCCAGGTAAGCTCGAGAACAAACGGAAATCGGCGGGGTGGGTCGACATAAATCAAGCTTCACACTGTTCCCAAGCACTGGACGTGTTTATGTATGGCCAACACTGTCCCATGTTTACAGCCTGGACTGTCTTGTGCCAACAGAAAAGCATGGTGGCATTGCAATCATGGTTTGGGCAGCCAGGTCTTGGTATTCTGCAGGGCTCATCATCACCTTGAAAGGCAAAGACACTGCCAGAGACTATGTACAATTTTTGGCCAACCCCCATGGTGCAGACATTGTTTCCCAAAGACAGTGCCATTTACCAAGACAATAATGCTCCCATTCACACAGCTGGTATTCTCAAATTGTGGTTTGAGGAGTATGCAGACAAAGCCTTGCACCTTCCCTGAGCACCGTAGTCACCGAACCTCAATATCATAGTGCCATTATGGTCAGTTTTGGAGAACAAGCCTTGGGCTTGTGTTCTGCCTCCAACATCTCTGTTAGAACTGAATGATTTTTGCATGAAGAGTGATATCAAATTCCATTGTCCACCATCCAGGACATACGGTATACAGTATTTGTCAATTCCCTGGAGAAATCAGGCCATTTTAGATGTCAAAGGCCATCCAACACCATGTTAGGGAACAACTTTGTACTTTTACCTGTTGTTCACTTAATTTTGTCCAACCTCTGTATTTTCCCAGTTTGGTCGGCAATTGTTAAACATGCCTTGAATTGCATACATACACTATATTGTCAAAAGTATTGGGATGCCGGCCTTTACACGCACATGAACTTTAATGGCATCCCAGTCTTAGTCCGTAGGGTTCGATATTGAGTTGGACCCGCCCTTTGCAGCTATAACAGCTTCAACTCTTCTGGGAAGGCCGTCCACAAGGTTTAGGAGGGTGTCTATGGGAAGGTTTGACCATTCTTCCAGAAGTGCATTTGTGAGGTCAGGCACTGATTCAGTGGCTGTTGTTCCCAGTTGCTTCCACTTTGTTATAATACCCTCTAACAGTTAAGCGTGGAATATTTAGTAGCCAGGAAATGTCACGGATGGACTTATTGCACAGGTGACCACCTATCACGGGACCACGCTTGGAGTCACTGAGCTTCTGAAAGCGACTCATTCTTTCACCAATGTTTGTAGAAGCAGTCTGCATGCCTAGGGGCTTGATTTTATATACAGTACCTGTGGCCATGGATTTGATTGGAACACCTGAATCCAAATATTTGGAGGGCTGACCCAATACTTTTGGCAATATAGTGTATGAACTTTCCTCACTAAGTATTTATAATTCTGTTCATATAGTCCCAGGGGCTGACTGACAATTCATAGGGCCCCCGGGCACTAGGGGATCATGAGGCCCCTGTGTCCTTGCCCAAACTCAAAAAAGCCTATGAAAAAGGTACCAGGGGCATCTCATGGGGCCCCCTACTGACTCTGGGCCCTCGGGCAGTACCCAAGTTTCCAAATGGTCAGTCCTCCCCTGGATAGTCCTAATTCACAAATTTCATCTACATAGCACAACTAGGTAGGTGACATCCATGTTCCCTGATTTGGCTTGTACATAAACTTTAAACTTTTGAAAAGTACCAAAACTTTTCTACGGTGTCATTGGCTCCCTATTAACAGTATATGCAATTGTAGTGAAGGTCATTACGCAGCTTTACAACCACCCATGGCCTCATCTTCACGATGCAATGTACTGGGACCATAACACTGGGGTAATGCCCTCCTAAAAAAGTCAAGTAGGGTGCCTGAATATTTTTTTTTATTACTGGGAGAAACACAGAAGAGTCCTTGTAAATGTCATCCATCTGAATTCTTGCAGCGAATGTAGTAAACTTTATTTCATTACAACAGAGGCTGCCACATCAAGCATCAATCATCTTCCATGCTATAACAACTTTTTGCAACTTCCATCCATTAGCAGAAGCACTTCTCAGGCTGCGAGCCCACAGAGACATGCTCAAATGTACCAACACTCATATTCGGCAACCCATGGGATGAGATTCTGACCAGCAGTCCCACTGCCACAGCGAATTAATCCAGATGGGTTTTTACGAGGAGAATTTGGGCCACGCGTCATGTCCCCTGCGCACCCCTGGGACCGTAAAGTGTCTTTTTTTTTTTCACTTACTCGTGTATCATTAAACAATGGGAAAAAAATATCCTGTATATTTATTTGATGTCAGACTTAAAACAACTTCTTCGGCCCTGTAATTTTTCATGCATGAGATATAATGGCGACGTCTTCTGGAAACCCGGAGAGAGGGGCCGCTTTGTAATCTGGTGAATTATGCAAACAGCAAAATGTTAATATTGTAAGGACGCCAGGGATATTAAAAAAATAATACTAGTGTCGACATTGATTTTGTATCCCCAAGACCGAGTGCTTAATATTCTTGCAGCCGCAGTCACCTTTACTAATATATCTTGATTCTTAAGTGACTGGGGCCTGGCTTCGCCGGCATCCTAAAAGAAAATTTAATTTTGTCTTATCAAATCCTGACATTTCACAGTCACACGGAGCAGATCTGATAGGGAATTGACTGAAAATGTGACCATAGTACAGCTGATGTCTCTTTGTTAAATATTATGCCTTTGTATGGTTCTTGTATCAATGTTTAAAGGAATATTCCACCATGGAAGCATTTGATGCTGTTAGTCTGGTATGTCAGAGTCAAGAAGCTGCCTGTGGGGGTTGTTCAATGAAAAAGAATGCTAAAAAATAATGCCCCAGTTCTAGGCCTTAAACATTTCTACCCACTGACCTCCAATGCAAGGGGCATTCTTCCCACTGACCTCCAATGTAAGGGTCTTTTTCCTACTGACCACCTATGTAAAGGGCATTCTTCCCACTGACCACAAATGTAAGGGTCTTTTGCCCACTGACCATCAATGTAAGGAGAATTCTTCCCATTGATCACCAATGTAAGCAACATTTTTCCTAATGATCACCACTTAAGGTACACTCTTCTCAACAACCACCAATGTAAGGAGTATTCTTCCCTTTGACCACTAATGCAAGGAACATTCTTCCCACTGTCTACCAATATAAGGAGCATTCATCCCACTGGCCCCCAGTGTAAGAAACATTATTACCACCAATGTAGGGAGCATTCTCCACACTGACCACCCATATAAATAATTTTCTCCCCACTGATCATCAATATAAGGGGCATTCTCCCCATCAACCACCAATGTAAGAGGCATTCTTTCCGATGATCATCAATGTAAGAAGCATTCTTCCCACTGACCACCAATGTAAGGGGCATTCTTCCCACTGATCACCAATGTAAAGAGCATTCTTCCCACTGGCCACCAATGTAAGGGACATTCTTCCCATTGACCACCAATGTAAGGGACATTCTTCCCACTGATCAACAATGTAAGGGGAATTCTTCCCACTGACCCCCAATGTAAGGAGAATTCTTTCCACTGACCACCAATGTAAGGGACATTCTTCCCATTGACCTCCAATGTAAGGGACATTCTTCCCACTGATCAACAATGTAAGGGACATTCTTCCCACTGATCAACAATGTAAGGGGAATTCTTCCCACTGACCCCCAATGTAAGGAGCATTCTTTCCACTGACCACCAATGTAAGGGACATTCTTCCCACTGACCACCAATGTAAGGGACATTCTTCCCACTGACCTCCAATGTAAGGGGCATTCTTCCCACTTTTCACCAATGTAAGGGACATTCTTCCCACTGATCACTAATGTAAGGGGCATTCTTCTCACTGACCACCAATGTAAGGGGCATTCTTCCCACTGACCTCCAATGTAAGGGGCATTCTTCCCACTGACCTCCAATGTAATGGGCATTCTTCCCACTGACCCCCAATGTAAGGGGCATTCTTCTCACTGACCACCAATGTAAGGGGCATTCTTCTCACTGACCTCCAATGTAAGGGACATTCTTCCCACTGACCACCAATGTAAGGGACATTCTTTCCACTGACCCCCAATATAAGGGACATTCTTCCCACTGACCTCCAATGTAAGGTGCATTCTTCCCACTGATCACCAATGTAAGGGACATTCTTCCCACTGACCTCCAATGTAAGGGACATTCTTTCCACTGACCCCCAATATAAGGGACATTCTTCCCACTGACCTCCAATGTAAGGGGCATTCTTCCCACTGACCCCCAATGTAAGGGGCATTCTTCCCACTGACCCCTAATGTAAAGGACTTTCTTCCCACAAACCACCAATGATTTTCCACCATGGAATAATTTTATACTATTGGTTATTCTGGTACGTCACAGTCAAGAAGCTCCATGCTCAGTTTTTTATATGGCCTGACGAATGAGCAAAAATATTTTTAAAAATTTACTTTTTATTTTATTTTTTTTTAATGGTGCAGCTGCATTTGACAGCTGCACCATTAAATATATGACACTGCAGATGAACAGTGATTATTTTTTAATTAGTGCAGCCTCCAGTATACATGCTATGACTATATCAGAGCCGATATAGTGATGGCATGATCAGAAACCACTCTGAAGGGTTCTCCATCTCAGTGGGGATTCCTGGGATTGAGAGCCAGCAGCTGTGCAAAGTGTCGGCTGCAGGATCTCAAAGAGTAAAATATATTTTTACGGATGCTCAGCACGGGGCATCATACCGGATACTGTAGATATAAGGATTGCCGACGGGAAGAGGTTAATGAAAAAAAAAAAATTAGAAATACTTCCAACAAGGCCGATCGCCTGCAATGCGATCACTCAAAACCAAAATGATAGCTCAAACCCATTAATTATGAATACCTTTACCCATTAATTATTAATAATTTTGACAAGAAAAACTAAAGCCGGTCTTTAAAATGACAATTTCGATCCATGTGTGGTCACTCTTCTATTTCCATCCTCGCCGCGTTTTATAGAATCCACCTGCACAACTTTGACTTGAAAAGACCAAAAAGAGTATTTTTAATATTTTTTGTGTCCCTTAGAGGGTTTAATAAATCAGACCAGATGGGCTGCCAGAATCCGCAAGAAGACATTTCTCTGTAAATCAATCGAGATTCTTCTTTATTCAAAAGACAATATATCCACGCTTTAATTAAATGTGCTTGCCCTTAGCATAGCAATAAGCTGCACGCCCAGACGCGTCGGCAATGATTGAAAAATGAAAGTCGATCTGAGGTTTCCAGGGAGAAGGAAAGTAACCGGCTATTGGTTAAAAATGGATTTTTTTCCCCCAGAAAAATATGTATTTGTTCCACAAAATAGATTTGTACTTAATTGAGAAATGTACTTTTTTTTTTTTTTTTCTGTTTTTTTTTTTTTTTTTTCGCAACACATTTCTGCGATAATTACAGTGATCTGGCTAGTAATTTCATTACTATTGATCCCCTGTCATCGTTTCATTATTGCGCTTTAAAATATATCGATCGAAATTGTTATGAAAACAGGAATTTTACAATGCAGAAAAACAAGTTGATGGCTGAGTCACTTCCATAGGAGTAAATAATTTTCTCATTTCTTTCTCTTCTTTTTTACTTCTGATTTTTTTGTTTTACCTTTCTTTTTTTTTTTTTGTTTTGTGTTTTTTTTTTTTTTTTTTTTTTTTTTTTTTTTAGTGGCTCTGTACCTAATGTAACGTCTTTGTTTATTATTTATGGTGCTTATTTGTATTGGATTACTGTGCAGCCTATCTAAGAAAGATCGTTAGTACAAAGTACTGTATATACTACATACAGTGGAATGGGCTTGATTCAAGTTGCGATAACTTAACCACATGCCGCCCAGCCACTGTATAAATACGGCGGCAGGGCGGCATGGCTGGGCAAAAGCACATTTTTAAACGTGTGTTTTGTAAACAGGTAGGGGGCGCGCGCGAGGCGCGCCGCCGCCCTACCTGTCCCGCCGATCTCAGCCGCGGATGTCAGTCGCCGGGTCACAGCCGGTCGTTACCGGCTATGTCCCGGCGATCGGCAGCAATCGCTGACAGAGAGCACAGCTGCAGTAGCTGTGCTTTCTGTCAGTTCCCTGACAGCTCCAGGACAAGCTGATTGGGACAGAAGAGTTTCTCTCTCCCGATCAGCGGTGTTTCGTGCAGTACACACCCCCGCCCCCCAGTAAAACACTCCCCTCACACAGTTAACCCTTCCCTGAAAATAAACTTAACCCCTTCCTCCCCAGTGCCGTTAGTACAGTTTCAGTGTTTTTTTTTTTTTTTGCACTGATCACTGTATTGGTGTCACTGGGGATGTCAGTGACCCCAAGTCAGTACCCCCCAATGTCAGAATGTCCGCCGCAGTCCCGCCATAAGTCACTGATCGCCGTCATTATTAGTATAAAAAAAAACTAAAAATCCCAGTATCTCTCCCGCCATTTGTAAACGCTCTAACTTTCACGTAAACCAATTAATATACACGTATTGGGGTTTTTTTTAGCAAAGACATGTCACAGAATGCATTCTGGCAGAATTTTATGACTAAATTTGATTTTAATTTTTTTTTTACTGGATATGTTTTATAGCAAAAAGTCCAAAATATTGTTTTTTTTTCCTCAAAATTGTCAGCCTTTTTTTTTATAGCACAAAAAATAAAAACCGCACAGGCGATCAAATACCATTGAAAGAAAGCTCAATTTGTGGGGAAAAAAAGGATGTAAATTTAATTTATGAACCGTATTGCATGACCGCGCAATTGTCCGTTAAACTAGCGCAGCGATGTATAGCAAAAAAATTTCGTAAATTGCAGTATCTATACCATAGTTTGTAGACGCTATAACTTCCACAGAAAGCAATTAATATACACTTATTGGGATTTTTTTTTACCAAAAACATGGAGCAGAATACATTTTGGCCTAAATTTATAACCAACTTTGAGTTTACTATATATTTTTTATAGCTGAAAGTAAAAAATATTGTTTTTCTTCGAATTTTTTGGCCTTTTTTGGTTTATAGCGTGAAAAATAAAAAGAACACAGGTGATCAAATACCACCGAAAGAAAGCTCTACTTGTGTTTACGTGCAGCATTGCATGACCGCGCAATTATCAGTTGAATTAGTGCAGCGCCGAGTAGCAAAAAGAGGCGTGGTCATTAAGGGGGGTAAATCCTCTGGAGGTCAAGTGGTTAATTCATCAAGGAGAGAAAATATCAGGGCCTTATTAATTCACTTACAGTTTTAGCACCTGATTCACTTTTATTTTTTCTAGATGACTTTTTTTTTTGTTTCATAAACTTTTATTGCATTTTAATAGACAAAAATAAGAAGAACAAGAAGGTAAGTATACATCTCCATACATTAGTGCAAATAATCAGAGAATGGTACATAGCCAAACACAAGCAAAATAAGATAACAATTGTAAAATGCAGGAGGGGACGAGGGTACATCTGGGAGGACAAAAAATCAACATAAACAAGAGACACCCCTGCATAGTGGTCTTAACCGAGGTCTGAACAAAACAGCCCGAGATATTGCCTGAAGCTCATAAGACCTTTACCAAGGCCTTGGTCATACATAAGTAACTGAAATACCATAACTGGGTGTAAGGAGAAAATGGCTGGAAAAGGAAAAAAAAAAGAAAGGAGAGAAGAAAAATAAAAGGGGGGTGAAACCAGAAAGGAATAAGCTCCGGCTGAGCTCCTATCCCAGTCGCCAACTCCAATACTGATTCACCGAGGAGAAACTCATGGAGACCCTGTAGTCAGTGGTGTATTTAAGTTTTGTGCTGCCCTAGGCAACACAAAAATTGGACGCCCCCCCTCCCCGGCAAAGAGAGCCGACCAACACCAGACCCACCTGCCCACCCTCGTGGAGCCTGTCAGTGACAAACAACACCCCTGCCCCATCCCCCCACCCATGGAGAAAGCCTGACAGTGATTAACAACACCCCTGCCCCATGTCCCCCCACCCGAGATAGCTTTCCTTCACAACTGTGGCCATCCCCAGGAACAACAGTTGGGCTCTGCATACACCATCAAGCAGCCTACAGCCTCTCTCGGATCACACCTGGTCCCCATGTCCCTTCTTCCTGGGGGGCAGTGCTGTCCACCTAAAAAAAAATGTTGCCCTAGGCAAATGCCTTGTTTGCCTTATGGTAAATACGCCCCTGCCTGTAGTGGACATGATCCATGTAGATTCTAATCTGTAATGCCTATGAAATGTGTTGGCCTTGGACCCTTTGTTTCTTGGGTAATTTTTACAATAAAGCATTGTTGCCCAGATGCCAGGGGAATGAGAGGTGACTGATGTGTCATTTCTCTAGGCCAAAGGAACAGAGTCACAAGATATTCTGCTGAGAGCAAGATAAAAACTTGTTTATGGAAATTGAACGTGTTTATGACATCTAGTAATGTCACATTAGAAGATAAAAACCTGTTTAAAAATGTCTACTTGCTTGAGAAGTTAGAAATCCTTAAGTTTGGGGTAGATGAGTAGAAGTTTAGGGTGGACAAGAAGCAAAAGTGGTGGTTGAACGTGACTCCAATGGTGGGTGTGGGCCCGCCCACTATTGGACAGCTTCCAGAAAATTGGTTTAAAAGGCGGAGGTCCGAGACCAGGAAGAAGCCCCCCCCTAGTGGCCAGAGGACACTCTTATGCTGGGATTTTTGCCATGGCTATATGGGCTCATCGACTGGTCACGCTTACGGCTTCCCCATGACCCCCTGGGCAGTATGGTTCCAGTGGGATTTGTTCCTTCCAGATTCTAATATATCTTTGGTAATGTGTTAATGTGCTGTGACGCTGTCAAATGATGTGTCTATTTCATGCCTTAATGCTCATATTATTATTGCTGTGTAAGACAACATTTTGGCCTAGGCCAAAAGCCAGAAAGCAACTGAACATTACTCACAGTATGTTATTACTCCATCCTATAGGCTTCCTTCCTGCCAGACAACCAGCCTCCCAAAGCCCCTCCTCTTCACTGGCTTCTACCTTGCTAATGGCATCAAGTACAGTGCAGTAACAGTCCTGCATTGTACATGAAAATGCAGAGGGCCGACCCACATTCCAGGGCTGGGACAGGGTTAAAGGAAAGCACCGGTTGCCAGGAGAGTGAAAAATAATGTAAGTATTCCCCTATAATGTATCCCTTCAGTTTAAATAGGCATTGGACCCATAGTATATGCCAGGGGGTTGGTTTTGGGGGGGGAGGTAATTTTTACATGGCATAAACAACTAGAT